CTGCCGTCTATGGGGTCGTACAGAGTCGGACATGACTGCAGCGACCTAGCAGCAGCAGCAGCCTGCTTTAATTCTTTGTAACAGGGCACGCTGACCGCCAGTAGAGAACGCCTGTGCTGAAGACGAGAGGCCTCCCTCCTCAGACACCAGTGCTGGGTCTCCTTCCACGGTAAGCCTCCCATCCCTCCCCCCCCCGAGTGCCAGAGCGCGTGTGTGTGCTGGTCTGCTGCTCTGAAGCCTTGACGGAGCGAACCCCTGACTTGTCTGATGCTCTCTGCTCTGATAAGATTTAAAACTGTGCTTTTCTTCTTCACAGCAGTTCCTCAGAGTAATCTGAGAGGCTGTCTTTGGGGCTACAGTCCTCAGTTTCGTTCAGATAAGATTTCGTCTCTTCCTATTATAGACTGTTGATTATCATGGTCAGCACCCGGGTAAGGCGGTCAAGTCAGGCATTATTTCTGCTCACACGGTGATGCCCAACTTTGTCATCTGTGATGGGGGGAGTTACAGCAGAATATTGAAAAATATGTGGAACAGTGTTTGCCTCCCTCGCATCTACATTATACTCTGCTGACACTGATCTTTTTGCAATTCAAAATAATCACTCATCCAGTTCAATCCCTGATTGGGAACTAAGATCCTGCAACCCACGCAGTGTGGCAAAAAAAACACTTCTATTTTTAGTTTTGAGTATGCAAAGAAACCTCTGATTCATTACAATTGTTTAAAAATCATAGGAACACATTAAAGCTTTATAAGAAATGCTTAAGTTTTTAAAATTAAAAACCTGGTATATGTCCATTATATCTCAATAAACATAAATAAACCATTTATACATTAAAAAAGAATAAAAGTTGGTTGCTTTTAAAAGAAACACAAGCATTTTTCTAGTTAATCAGTATGTTCAGTTCAAGAAAACCAGCGAAAACCAGCTGGCTTTGACAAAGCCACTCTTGAGGTCTGGTTCCACAGGAGCTCGCTGGGCACCAGGGATCGCTCCCTGGGCCCTGCACTGCACAGGGGCACTCACACTGGCCCCTCAGCAGGCACCCATAGGACAGCACCCTCAGCAGGCCTGCACCCCAGGCTCAGCTCAGTTCTAACTACTGCACATCCTTCAAGTGGCTGTACCTGGCCTCAAGTCAAAGTCACTCAGTTGTACCCGACTCTTTTGCAACCTTTAAGGACTATACAGTCCACCAGGCTCCTCTGTCCATGGAGTTCTCCAGGCAAGAATAGTGGAGTGGGTAGCCATTCCCTTCTCCAGGGGATCTTCCCAACCCAGGGATCAAATATGGGTCTTCTGCATTGCTGGCAAATTTTTTACCATCTGAGCCACAGGGGAAGCCCAAAGTTTGGCTTCAAACAAGCACAGAAAGGGTGTCTTACACTAGTCCACATAAACATCCCTGAACACACACTTGACCCCTCCAGGTCTCACAGCACACCGGAGGCCCATCTTGAAATGCTCACGGCAGCACGTGAAGGACAGACAAGTTGTCACATACTGAGTCGGCAGCTCAGCACAGGAAGCCTCGGGTTCGCCACTTCCGATGCCAGAGCAACATGGCTTCAATGTTAAAGTCGCACACTGCTAAGCCGGGAATTATGATGAGTAAAATCCCAATGTGTGGTACACCGCAAGAAAGGAAAAAAAGCACCCATCTAAGAATTCAAGTCCACTTTCCTTCTCCCAAGCAGAACAGCACTGCTGGATGACACACCATTCAGGTAACCTCCCAGGTGTGTTTCTTACAATTAAGCTTGAGCATCAAAGAAAAAGGTTTTCTTTCTTTGTCATCTCTTTTCTTGAATTTATTTAAAGAATCTCATTCAGGTATAGAACCTGAAAAATCTGTATCTAAAAATGTCAACTGAGTTGGCAGTATTCCACTAGCTTCTATGCTCTGGGAACCCAAGAGAATAAAAAAATACTTCTCAGAGCTGATACCAAAGTCTAGTCCGGGCCCATTTTCATTAGAAGTAACCCACGGGCAAGTGGGCTTGGAGCTGCTCTGGGCCCTATGTGCCTCTCGAGCAGGACAGGCTGGTGCAACTGCAGTGGACGACTCCTCCCCCACCACCCAAAGTCCTGCTCCCAACTCCTCAGGGTTGTCCTCACTTGTCCTGGAAGATGGTGAACTGCCCAACCACACTCTCAACCACTCTAAGAGGCCTAAGGAAACTTCAGTTACTTTTTAAAATACATGATCCGGATGTAAAATAATCCAGGATTTATATACTTCTAACTTTTATTTTAAATATCTGAGGCCCAGAGTACTTGGAGAAGTACTTCATTACTCAGAACATTAAACAATTTTTAATTGTTTTTGGAGACTTTCTTCTCTGCGCTCCACTACCCACACTTAAGACATACGTTTCTCATTTGCTTGTGTGTTTATAAATTAGTCACTTTCTAATTTAAATATATCCTTTTTCATCAATGTACTAGGATTAAACTCTTGTCCTTTGCTTCTCCCCAAATTTTCTTGTTAACAGCTTTCAACTACTGGCAGTTTTTTTTTTTCCTTTCCTTTTTAGAACTTACATGGAAGGAAGTGCCAGATTTAATATCTTCTTTAAAAGATCATTCATATACAACCTATTTTAAACAATACCTAAGAAAACAGAGAAATGACCTTTCCTTCTGTCAATCACACATTAATAGGTATAAGTAATGGTTTTATTAATATTAATAAACCTGCTGCCAATAAGTATATTCATTAATATGACAATATGCTTCTTTAAAACTAGAAAAGCTGAGTTGTGTGAACTAAATTACACATCTGAGTCCACATGAGGAAACGTTACTCTCGTGTTATTTGTGAATGCACACAGAGAACAGCTCACAGGCCTCTGCACGATCAAAGCTCCTCCCCGCAGAGCAAAGCACGGGAGGTTCTGACCAGGAAGGTTGCTAGCGGGTCTCCTGGAATGCTGGGGAGAGGAAGGGGCTCCCCGCAGCCTGGAAATGCCTCCCCGGAGTCAGGCAGGCACGTGGGAGGGGCCAGGGCGGGCAGTGTGGACACGCACAACTCGGCACAGCTGTACACACGCCTGCCACCCCCGTGCCGCCCATGGCAAGGTGGGGGGGACCAGCGGCCTTGGCGTCCATGCACAGCTGCAGGGGCCCCTGCGACCCTGCAGACTCACCCCCGTCCCCCGCCCCACAGGCCCACACAGAGCACAGACGGGAGCCTGAACATCATGCCCCTGCCTCCGGGGACGACCTTTCCCCACACGGGGACAAAGCGACAAGCCACCAGGCTGTCCTCACTCAGGGCGGGAAACCTGCCTTCCTTCACTCTCGTCTTAGCTCTCAGAGCAGCCGTCCGTGAGGGGGGCCCAGGACATGCCTGAGAGAACCCCCAGGTCTAGGGGCAGAAACCGAGGGGCTGACAGTCTGTGAGGCACGAGAAGCCTCCCTAACACCACCTCTCTCCCCACACCCACTGCAAACGTCCCATTCGGAGTGAGAATCCGGCTTCTAACTCTGAGCCCAGACTCTTCTCGCTGAGCCCAGACTCTTACTGTGTTCTACACTCACGCACAAAATATTTCTGGATAATTTTAACATAATGTGAATTTTCCAGAAATTTTACTATTGTTTGAGTCTAGAAAGAACTGTACATTGCTTTACTTGTCACTTTAACAGGAACCACTCCTTCTGTAATATTCCACCACCACTGGCATCCCAGTCCCAGGGCGACAGCCTCCTGGTCATCAGCTCTGACGTGAGCCTATCCATGGCCTCCTGACGTAGCTCCCAGCCTTTTACATATTGTTACATGTGTTACATTATTATACACTATACGCTACCATCCTTCAGTTTTTTAAATTATAAGTTATATTTTCTAGACATTACATCTTAGGGTAAGGGGTCATTACAAAAATTTTTTCTTTAAAAACGGCACTGTTCCTGGCAAGTCTGAGTCTTACTGCAGAGAAAACACGCTCCACCAAGTGTCCACAGGGAGAAAAGACACGGCTGACCATCAGGACATGGTATAAACACTGGGTGAAACACCATAGATCACCTGACCTTCCTCTGGGGACAGAGACCCCTGGGGCCCCCCCAACCCTGGCTGGAGAGCAGGTGTCAGGGCCATGCAGTGTCCCCAACACACCGTGACACTTCTGAGAGTTACAATGGCCCACACTGCAGGTGTCGTCCACAGCCATCCCAGGGAAACCGACAGGCAGCCACTGGATGCCGGCCCATCCATGCACACCCTCCCCAACCCCACGTGCCCCAAAAAGCACTGCCCCTTCCCCAGGGGGCAGATGGGGGACCTGCAGACCAGGCAGTAGCCTGTTTGGGCCCCCACTCCTGACCACCGCCCCCCACCCTGCCTCCGCACTCAGCGGGAGGCAACAGTTGGCCCAGAGACCAATGGTGAAGGCCCCAGCTCTCATCAAGCAGACAGGTGTCACCACCACCACCACAAGACTTCTCCGCAGCCCATCGTGGGAAAGGACAGAACTGCCAGCAGGACTGACGGATGCAGCCACCCCGGCCTGGGCTTCCACTCGTCTCCGCAGAACCTGGGGGTGCCCGGGACCAAGCACAGGCACACCGGTCAAAGGCAGGGACACCCCCACATCGGCCCACATGCTCCAGAATCTTTGCTTCAAACAGAACCTGAACTACTGCACGTCCCACTACAGTTAGGCTCTAAATAGAGAAGAAAACTAAGAGGCACAATAAAAACTACAGGCTTGAGTGGAAAGTCTGATACTCTCAAGTGAAATTTATAAAAAGCTACCTCTGAAGAAAAAAAATCTCCCAAGACTAGCCAGATGGAACAGAAAAAGAGAAGAAACAAATGTACAGCTTCAAAGCTCTGGTGGGACGGTTCCAAAGCAGAGATGCACCAGCTTATGTCACGAAGAAGCTGTGAAGATGACCTAGCTGCCTGGAAAAGGCCCGTGTCTCGCCCGGGTCTGACTCGCGTCCCACCCTGAGTGCCGAGGGCGCGGCCTAGGGAGGGGGCTCTCACCATCGCACTTTGTTGCAGGTCTGGGTGGCACCGAGGGGCGAGCCGGCCACCATGGGCACCTGGATGGGGCTGTGCTGCTTGTTGGTGACCAGGTCCAGCTTCTCTTCCAGGGATTTACACGTGGCCTCCAGAGCCTGCAGCTTGGCTTCAATGCTATCCAATCGCAAGCAGATCGTCTGGTTAATGGAATACAGGAATGACTGCAAGAGAAAAACAGAAGAGCTTCAGGAAGGGCCTCTGGAAGTCCAAGCAGACAGTTCCAAGAACACCAAGCAGCTCTCTCCCACACTCGGCTGAGTCTGTCCCCACAGGACAATCCCAGTACTCCAGCTCGAGTTGTGAGCAGCAGCATCTCCAGAAACAAGCTGGACCCTGTCCACTCACAGCATGACTGGCTCTGCTCTGAGTAGTTGTGACTCTCAGCTACACTGAAGTCCACAGAAAACAGAACCTAAGTGGGCTTTACGACATGAATCTATTCATGAGTAAACCTACAGATAAAACTAGTCAAATGTTTCTATGAAAACAGATTACACCCAAAATCAAAAGAGCCCAGAAACCTGCCTGGTCCCAGGACACCCACCGCCCCAAGGTGAGGCGTGGTGCCAAGGCTCCCGCGCGTGGGAGCGGCACACCTGCCACCTAGCGGCCATTGGAAGAGCTGCCGCACCTTCCACCGCCGTCACCCAAGTCCTGCCTGGGACCAAGAACCGGCTCAAACACCCGGTGGGAAGCTGCCCCCTCCCTCAGTGGCCACTCCTGCCGTAGGTCAACAGGGACACGGAGGGACATGGGCTGCGCCCCTGCTGGCCTCACAGCTGACATGGGAAGGAGGCTGCCAGGCTGGAGTCAGCCCGTGATGGCTCAGCTCAGCAGAGAGGCAGCGTACGAGGCTCCTCTGATGTAAGCATCATGACAACCACTCACTGGTAGCTGAAGTCCCAAGGTCAAATCACTAATGACCCCATTATTTTTTATAATTTGAAGACCTCAACCATGAGGTTCCCAAATTCTCTAAACAGTAAAACTGCATCGTCTTAATTCTGAATTAGAAATTATTCTGCCTGGAGTTTGGATGAACATCAGTTATTATATACCAGTAACACAACTTCACAAATCAATAAAACAAAGAAAGGCAGAGAATAGCACTTTTAAATAAGTCTCCTAGATACAAGTGATATTCACCAAAAATCATCCAAATCTCTCTCTTTTGCAGAGCTCTGGCAATCTGGTGAGCACACTTTTCCCAGGACATGTGTGGCAGGTTCCAGCTGCGGCCCGAGGCCCTGCCCGCAGGCCAGGAACGCGGCAGGACCCCTTTCACTTGACCTTATCCACGTCTGACTCCTACGCTATTCCCCACACAAGCCTCTTCTGTGATAAAATTACATTTTATTTTTAACTATACAATGTAGGGTTACTGAAGCAGTGGTCCTCTATACATTAATCTGAAATAGAAATTTAACTGGATGTGTCTTCACTCCACAAGGTTAAGTTCATGCTGCTTCTCAATGTTAACAAGACGAGCCAGACATTTCTCCACAGAAGGCCCAGGTAAAGAGAGAATACAGCTGTACAGCGCAGGGAACTTTACTCAGGACTCCATAATGAGAGGCATGGAAAAAGAATCTAAAAAAGTGGATACATGTATGTGTATAACACATTCACTTTGCTGCACTGCAGAAACACACACACTATTCTATAAAGCAACTAAAAGTTCCTTTGGTTTTCCTCTGCACTGCAGTCCTAACTTCTCACAGGAGCTGGTATTCATCTCTGTGGCTCTGCAAACAGCAGACCCAACAAGTAAACCCAAGAACCAGCGATCGCCCACTGACTGAGCCAGTGGTTTCCAAGGCCCCATCTAGCAAACCATAGAATTTAGGTACCCTAAACTATAGGCACACAAGTGCTTCATCACTGGGGGAATGGTGTTTGTTCCCTCCAAGCATGCAAGGTCCATGGGTCTGTGTAGGAAGAGGCCACAATCCTGGTTAAATACTGTGAGTCTTCAAGGGGAAATGTTATGGCTGTATGCGCCTTGTTGGGGGTTGAACAGTGACTCAAGAGAAATAATACGTCCACATCCTCAGCCCCAGGACCTGTAAATGAGGCCTTGCTTGGAAACAGGATCTTGGCAGATGTAATCAAGATAAGATGAGGTCATCCTAGGTGAGGGTGGCCCTGCCCTTGTAAGAGACAGAAAAGACATGCAGGCATGGAGGAGGCCACATGAAGATGGAGGCAGAGACTGGAGAGACGCGGCCACAAGCCCACAGATGACTGAGGCCCCCCCAGGAGCTGGAAGAGGCAGGAGGGACACTCCCGCGGAGCCTCCGAAGGGAGCTCAGCCCTGCAGAAATACTGATTTCAGACTTTTGGCTTCCAGAACCGTGAGAAAGTAAATTTGTATTGATTTAAGCCCCTCCTCACCCCAAATTGTGATAATGTTACGGCAGCACCACATCAGATATAAAAAACCACATATATTAATATTTTCACCTTTATAGAAGGGTCCTGGCAATTGATCTCTAGTCGCTGGCGTTTCAAAGCTGGTTCATCTTCATCTGTCACTACATGATTCTCCAATACAACTGAAAATCAAGAGACAAAAACCACTTCAATACGAAAGGTTTAACAGAGCTGTTTCATGTTCAGACAGTAAACCATTCCAACACTTTAAACAGAAAGGTGTCACCTGAGGTTAAACGAGAATTAGCACAAACTGTTTCATATTTTACTATTTACAGATTTAACTTAAAATTATCAGTCAGGCAGAAAATAGGATCTCTCCTTAATCTCAAGAAAAACTGAGACATTGGCTAAATTATCTCCCTAATGTGCCAATGAGTTGATACTAACACTGAGACTGCAGGCTTCTTACTCAAGGCTCTATCCAGCCACCCTTTGCGACAGAAACCAATTGCTAATAACGATTTCTTCCCAACTTTAAAATAAGGTCTTGTCAGCCAGCCACCTCATTCCAAAAACAAAACCACTCTCAGAATACTACATCTTCTCAAGTGCTGGTCATCAAACTGGTCTCAAATGTAACACAGTAAGTTTCAGGGAAAGTCACTTCCCTGTAGTGTGTCTGAAATTGAGGTCTCCCACCAGCACCTTCCAAGGGGGAGTCATGATTTCTCCACTGATAAGTCACGTGGCCCAAGTTTAGGGCTGACACAATATGGCCCCAATCCTGATGTCTTTACACCTGTACTTACCAGGTGATTTATCTTAAAACTCTAAAATGCAAAGACACTGAAGAGACCTGAGGCTCTAGCAGGAACCCTTCAGGGTCCCAGGCGAGAGCACTAAGCTGGTCTCCAGAGGTTAAGTCACACCTAAAGCTCTACCTGGCGGACAGCAGCCACAGGCCAACGAAGCCAGAAGCAATCTGTTCACCAGAGGGCTCTGCATCATACACTGTGTATTCACACCTCACACACCTCCGCAAGATGTGCGGGAACAAGCTCTCACTTAGTTAAGAGAAAGGAAAACTCCAAGCCTACACGTGTTGTGGTAGCAACACAGGTTCTCAGAACCTTCATCGAAGCCTGCTTAACTCCCACTGGAAGCTGGTGATTAAAACAGGACTGGGAGGATGAAGAGGCTCTGGCAACCACTCATCTAATCCTTTTAATTTGCTGACGTCAAGTCCAGAGAAGCTAAGTGACCTGACCAGGGACACAGCTGGCCTCCTCTCCCTTGGCAGCATGAAGCACCTCAAGGTGATGAGCAAGGGGCAGCAAAGCACTTGAGGAGGAGACAAGCCTGCGGCGGCAAGAGGAGCACACGCCTGGGCTCCACTGCCTACGAGCCGCGGGGCTCCTGGTCCATTTTCTTCTTTGTCCTTGGGTTTTATAACTCTGCATGCACTACTTTTAAAATTAAACAAAAAAACCCAATGTTCATTTTAAAGCCATCACGGTCACCTAGAAGGGCAGACCCGACAAAGGTTACAATCGTGCGTGTGTATGCAAACGAGCAAACAGACTGTGGCTACGTGGTGGGTACACACAAAGTCACAGGAACCTAACGGAGCATGTTGATTTCAAAAGGAAATCAAGAGAAAAATGAAAGGATGTACATGCCAAAAACTCAAAAGCAGTTGTCTTGCTAGAATTATGGGAAACTTCTATTTCTTCTAGTTGCTTGATTATATTTTTAAATTTTACAAAGTTTACATTTTAGAGACGAAAAAAAGATCTCAATCTTAACTCCCTCCTGACGTAAATGTGGGGGTGCAGTATGGTGCCTGCTGGTGTCGNGGGGGGGGGGGGGTGTCCCTGGGGCCAGAGATGGCGGGTCCCCTGTCCTCAGAGAGCCCTCCCTGCACACAGTAGGTACCCGTTACACAGCCATGAGCTGTAGTTTGCAGCCATTTAAGGAAGCTACATGGAACAAAACCAGGATCAAAAATTACTCCTCTAATCCTTCTCTGGACTGAAATCTACAGAGGGAGAAAAAAAATTTTTTTTAAATAGAGAGAGAATTTACTTGGGAAGTAAACTGTTAAAATTCTAGTAGTTTCTAAAAACACTTAAAATTTATATAACTGGGCCATTTTTCTTTTATTATTGCATTGCAGTGTGAGTGTTTTCTAAAGAAATTGTCTACCCAACAAAATGTGAGCAACTGTTTTTAAAACTGTGATGCCTGTTGACAGTGCTGCTTTGTTTTCAGTTCAGTATATGAGGAGCGGCACTAAACGAGGCCAAGGCTTCCTGTTCTCGCTCTAAACAAACCGGTTCGCTTTTTACAGAGAAATCTGGGGTTAACAACTAACCTCAGACACCCTGACTTTGCTCAAGGATCTGCCAAGTTTTTGATCATTTCAGTTACCAGGTGACAGTACTTCTTATAAACAATTCAGAAGCAAAATTAGGGGAAAAACTGACTAAAGAATATAGCATTTCTGAAGGGGTATCCCCATCTCTTCATGATTGCTTGTTCAAGCCTAAAATTACACGTGCCGCCCACCGTCCATACATAACTCATTTCCCAACTAAGACTCTTCAACTAAGAGATCATACAAGAGATCATACAAGATAGACATCATCACACTTTGAGATTTCTGAAAATTCTCTTTTCTGTGGGGAAAACAGTCAGCATTTTTAATATTATTATTTCACAAAGAGGGCTTTCAAGGTGGCCCAGTGGTAAAGAATGTGTCTACCAATGCCAGAGGCTCGGGTTCGAGCCCTAGGTCGGGAAGATCCCCTGGAGAAGGAAATGACAACCCACTCCAGAATTCTGGGCCTGGAAAATCCGTAGACAGAGGAGCCTGGCAGGCTATAATCCACAGACTAACAAAAAAGTTGGACATGACTTAATGACTAAACAATTCCACGAAGAATAACCAAGCAACCAAAACAATTTCTGTGATTTAATTATGTATGCTTATTATTTTAAACTTAACAGATATATTAAACACATAAAACTTTATGGGGAAAAAAAGAGAGAACACTTACTAAGAAACCTTTTTACAAAATAAAAGTGCTGACAAAGTGTTTCATAAAGTTCTTGAAATCTAGAATTCCCCTTATAAAGTGTCTAGTATCTAGTTAAGATTCCAAAGTAGCTAAGTGCCTTGAACATCACTAAGGAAGATTACCAGCCCTGGCAAAAGTGCAGGAAAAAGTCATCTCTCAGAATAACTGGGTAGTGTTTCTGGGACGTCCATCAACATCTTATCAAAACTCTGAATAAACACAGCAGCTCGACTTCTGGGAACTCATCCTGCAAAAATATTAATATCTGCCACGATACACAGCAAGACCTTTACTGCAGAGTGTACACAGAAGAAAACAGTGCAAACCACGTGAACACCGTTCCCAGGGAAGAAGCAGATGAAGGCGGGAGCAGCATGCACGGAACACTTCAAAGTTGTCCACACACATGGCAGATGATCTGCTGTTGCAGAAGAGGCACGGACAGGACCACGGGGGCTTGAGGGAGGCCAGGGCAGCCAGGGCTGGACGGCCGCGGCGCAGGGGCAGGCTGGGGGTTGCTGAGGGAGCACGGGGACAGGTGTGGGGCTGACAGGCTCACACGCTCTGAGCACGCCCTGATGTTTCTCTTGCTATACTGAAGGGAAGGCAGGGAAGCTTGCAGAAGATCCTTTGGGTTTTTCCCCAGACTGCCCCCAGCTCTGTACCTGGGTGTCCGGGACTCAGCTCCTCGACAGCGATCTGCACCACGTCAGCCAGGTCCTGTTCTGACATCATCCAGGACGCGAGCAGAGTGGCCGGTGGATGAGAGGGAATCAGACTCACGTAGGACAGTGTTCCTGCCACCTAGAAACAAGAAGACAGCCGAAAGGGAGATGAACAACCGTGATCTTGAAATGATGGAAACTGAGGCCATGTTCTGTATCCACAGGTTCACCAGGAGCCTGTGGACATGTCCAGTATGAGGCTCTTCTTGACTCAAACCATCAAAATGTCCCTCATTACTAGACAAGCCCCCACCCTGCCAGTCCCTTCCCATACCCCTCGAAGTCACCTACCTAAGACAGCTGTAATGCGTCACCCCCAAGCCAGACGTCCCCTGGCCCCCTTCCTGCCCACAGAACACGTCCTGTCTCTCACCTGCCCCTACCAGCTCTCAGCTCCACTACGCACACCACACTCCAAATATCACCGCGAACACACCTCCAGATCCTACCCAAGTGGACCCTTCCACTTGCCCGTTTCCACTCCTCACACGCCCTCCCTCAGGCAGGCAGAGCAGAGGGCCGGCTCCTGGGAGGACTGACTGTGGCAGCAGCCCCCTGCCCGGGCCGGGGCCTGGCCCCCATCACTGTCACCCCTGAGACAGCATCACATGTGCAACACAGTCCGTTCCTTTCTTCCTGCCCTGAAACTCTCCGATTAGGCCCGGACACACCTTTCCCAAAAGAGAAACGAGGCCATGCCACTCCAGATATGACCCATCGACACGGGTCTAAACGAGGTACTTGCACACTGGGTGCCTGGAGGTCAAGAGCCAATGCCACTGTAATACTCGTATCATCCTACACTTTGTGTTTTAATCACCAGTGAGTAAATGCTCACAACATAAGCCATCTATCTTTCCCAGCTAGACTGCTCGTTCCCTAGGGCGGACACCGAGCGCCCAACTCTCCAGGACAGCACCGCCCCCCCAACACACACACACACACACACACACACCCGCTCACTGTCCTGAGGCAAGCACACACACACACACACACACACACGCACGCACTCACTGTCCTGAGGCAAGCCCAGCACACACACACACACACACACCGCTCACGCTCACTGTCCTGAGACAAGCCCAGCACACACACACACACACCCGCTCACTGTCCTGAGGCAAGCCCAGCACACACACACAAACACACACACACACGCTCACTGTCATGAGGCAAGCCCAGCACACACACACACACACACACCCANCACACACACACACACACACACACTCACTGTCCTGAGGCAAGCCCAGAGCACACACACACACACACCTACACACACACTTTCACTGTCCTGAGGCAAGCCCAGCACACACGCGCGCGCGCGCACACACACACACACACACATGCTCACTGTCCTGAGGCAAGCCCAGCAGGAAGGAGCAGCCGTATCAAGAGTCTTAGGTCATCCACTTCCAACCAGGAGTTTACTGACAGCTCCTTTAAGTGGCTAAGTTCCAACAGGCATAAAATTAAATTCATAAGTTCCACACATGTTCTTAAACCTATAAATTCTGATTTAAACTCTATAGCTTAAATGGCAGCAGCTCCAGAATTTGTTAGGGACAGACAACCATTTGTAGAAGGAGCATTCAATCTGCTTTTTTCTTTTTAAGAAATACGTTAGATGTGAACAGACTATCTCTGGGGCATAAAGATAAAGGAAATTATATTTGCTTTTACCATGTACATGTTATCACCTTCTCAAACAGTACTTTTTAAAATGATCAGACAACTAAATACTGAGGCATCTATCACAGGGAAACCGTCACCTCCGACCCCCTCGTACATGCCGGTGCAGCCTCACCAGCAGTCGCGGGCCTCCACGGGAACAAGCTGGGGGAACTGGCGGGCCCACCAGGGGTCTGTCTCCCTAAACCTGTGTCCTCTGAAGGTGATCTCTGAGCAGATTAACTGTGATCAGTATGAACACCAAAGCCATTCATGTAGGGATACACTGAGCCCCTTCAAGCAGACAGTGGTCCTCAATTAGATAACACCCTCTCACCTCAATCTTTGAATTGATGGATTTAACATGTTTTAGGGTTGCACACTGCTTTCAGAATCAATTTTTTTTTTAAAATTACAGATCCTCTTCCAAGAAAAAAGCACAGACACTGCCAAGTTCCTGAAACTCACAGTCACCTCACAGACAGCTGGTAGCCGACCAGTACCTGCTCTCCACTATGCTCGGTGCTGTGAGAATGCGAGTTCAAAGGGCACGGGGCCACCAGAGCCCAGCCTCTCCTGCAGCACGCCACAGCCACGTGACGCGCNGGCCAGAGGAGCATGAGCGAGCCAGTGCAGGGCAGCTCCCAGACCCTTCCCACGTGCCCTCCTGCTGCTGGCCTCCCTGACCACTGCCTCCCGGACTTCCTTGCTCTGAAGGAAAACTGCCAGTCACCTGCTCTAAAAACAATGCATTCTGGAATCTGTGGCATGCAGCCAGGCTTAACCTCTGTGATCCACCCTGAAGCCCATTCACGATGGCCCAGTGCCTCAGGTCCCAGGTTAAATACCTGTCTCTCACAAAGGGCTAGTGGAAAGTGTTCAGGTGCCAGACCCGAGCCTTCCCTGGTTTCTGGGAACTCTGTGAGTGGCTTAACACTCCGAGCTAACCATAAAATCCTGAACCCTACCCTCATCCAAATGAGGACACCACACATGATCCAGGGTGTTTACTCAAAATGATTCTGCTGCCAGGATAGAGTCATTTAAAATTCTGCTAACTGTGATGATTTGAATAGAAAAAAAAAAAAACTAGGGCAACAAGCCCAAGAAAACTGGAACAGAACAAAGCATGAAGTTGCCATTTTGGCAAATTAAACTTGCCATTTCTCAGAAGTCCTGGAGATAGTCCAGCCTTAATATCATAAAGCAGCTGGACTGCGATTAATGTTCAATAACGTCTCTAACGGCAACGAGAAGAGAGCATCCTCCAGGGAGCACATGGAAAAACGCCCACCAGCCAAGTCACCAGCCCAGCGCTCAGTCACCAGGGACTGTACAGTAAGTGACGTGAGCATCACAGCCATCCATGTGGATGGAACGGTCTCCAGAACATAACACTACATAACAGAAAAAAAGGAGAAAAGGAAAACTGCAGGTATGTACAGTCAAGTGTCTGTGTGTGTGAATGCACACAAAATGCTCTGGAATGACGCATACTGAACCAGAGCAACCCACGAGGGAAGAAGGGCAGGTAACACCAGCTGACCTTCATCCTTTATCCTCTCGACTGCTGAGCCTCCTACAAGCACATACTATTTATTGTGCTTATTACACTGGAAATAGTTTTTCTAAAACAAAGCAGTAACTATACAGACGAAGCCAACCACATCAAATCTGGATAAAAACAAGGGAGCTTTCTTCCACCCTGCCTCAAACCCCCCTCCCAGCCTGCATGCGTGTGCGTCCACAGCCGTGACCTCTGGTGCCCTGGCCCCTGCCCTACGGGCGCTCCTTCTCCCAGGCCGGCGGGGAGGGAGGGGGGGGGAATCAGGCTTTCTCTCTCCCTCCGGCTCGGTCCTGGGCCTCTTCTCACTGGCACTGAAACACCATCTCCCTGCCGACAGCACACAATCAACTCCGCCTCCAACCTGTCCCAGAACTTCAGATCCTGTAACAAACGGCCTCTGGGCCACCTCCCCTAGGTCTCCAGTCTCAATGTGAAGAGGCAGAACTGAACCCATCCCTGTCCACACCTCCAGACCGCCCGCCCAGGTGTGGTTCTCCTCCTCGCATCGGACCTGCAGGCAGAACTTCCCACTGCCCTCGCTCTGGCCTCATCAGTGCATATCTGGGCCCACACTCTGGCCCTACCTGGGTCTCCCTGCTCTGCCTTCGCCCAGAATTGCCACCAATACCTGTTTAAAGGCTATGGATCACGTGAAAGCCCATCTCAGCATCCCTGTCTGCTCAAAGCCCAGCAAAGCTTTCCCGTTCATTCAAGGTGCGTGCCTGGCACCTGGCACCAGCCAGGCTCCCTCTGAGTCCCCAGGCTCCACTCGAGGCTCCTCACTCTGCCATCAGAGGAGGCTACCTCAGCCAAGCAGGCATACACCAGCCCAGCCCTCACCCTCCACCGTCCGCTTGCCCTTCCACCCAGTCAAGCCCCACCCATCACACCCACCAGCAGCACCCATCTCCCGGCTACGAGTTCCTGCTTCATCACAAAGCCCTTCCATCTAACCTGCGACACAGGCGAAACGTCCGTCTGGTTTGACATCTGTCTCCCCTGCTGGAAGACAAGCTCCCCTGGGCAGGAACCCGCACCATCCCCCTCACTGCCCCGCATGGGGCCTGGCACACCATGTACGTCAGTGCAGTGGGGCTGGAGGGGAGCCCTGGGGAGACATCCCACTGCCCACCCAGCACTAAACTCTGGAGGGCGGCATGTCTGCTGACAAACCATGCAGTAAGGTCTGCAGAGTTCTCTCATTTCAATGACTGTAGTGTAATTAAGTCACAGACCTGTTTAGCTTATAACTGTGAATTTCATGCGAACAACATGTTAGGTTTCACAGTGGAAATACAAGCTGCTCACAGATTGTCAACGACAGACAGGAGCAGTTGTTCATCAGCAGAAACACAGAACGGTACATTTAGTTTCCATTTTTCTAGTTTTTAAATATTTTGGACACCTGTAGAAAATAAAACCACAAGGCCCCTGAAACAGGGGAAAAAAGAAGAGCTACTGTAACCGAACATGTGACTGCGCAACAGCAATAAAGGTGGGAAAAGGAAACCCCGCAGCCCAGCAGCATTGTCACGCAGCAAAAAGGCATCAAGGAAAAGCAGCCAGGCAAGGCCCGCTGCGTCCACCCTGGGTTTCCTCAGTCACCATGAGAACTACATCACACAGTCATCCCAAGAGGGACGTCACAGCACCTGGGGGTCTTAGGGCAGACACTGTGCAGAGCTGTTTCTCCCACTGGCCCCTGAACAAGCACCTGCGGACACAGTCTGTAGGAGGCTACGTCCGGGGAGGCGCGCAAGGCGGCTGCTGTGACCCCAGGGTGGAGACCTGGCCCTGCTCTACCAGAACCGTCTCCCAGCCATCAGCTCCCTGCAGAGCGA